GAAGCTTTTAGAGAGAAAGCCACAGGGGTGGGAGGAAAGTGACGTTGCCAGCCCAACAGATGTCCTGCGCTATCAAGAACTGCCAAACTCATCCTCCTTGGGCTCGGGCTCCTTGCTCCAGCCTAACCCAAGTGGCACAAAGTGCTTTTTAGTGAGGGTAGCGGAATCATTGCAGAAAGGGGACTGAATGAGGGCAGTGAGTCAGAATTGGCCTTCATTCTATTATGGCTAGTGCCACATTATTTGCCCTTTAGAGAGGCAGAGATCTTGACGCAGCTCAGACGCTTCCCCTGGCTGCTCAGGATGCTCACGATGCGGTAATTCCCACTGCTAAGCCAGCTGGGCAGCTCCAGGTCGGGCACAGCGAAATCACTCTTGGGCAGTGAGTAGGTGCCCTGTGGGAAAACCAGTGGGCCGCAGGTCAATGGGAGCCTACTAATGGGACTCTCTTTCCTTGAGCCACCTCTAGGATTACAGCCATGAACCACCCCTCCTCCCATTCTCCTATGGGCCACACAAGATTAGAGATTGCCACAGCACTATAGAGCATGGATTATTATAGCTAAAGGGCCCTGGAGATCACATCTAAATTCAAGTCTCCCATTTCACAGATGGATAAACTCAGGCCCCCAAAAGATAAGCAATTCCAGGTAAGTCATGCCAATTTACATATTCACAGACACCCAGATCTGCAGGAGGAGAATGCAAAGATCCTTCTCCCCATACCCCGTCCTTTTACTCTTGCCACAGGGATAATGTTCTCCCTCTCTAAGTACTCACTTCTTTGAAGGGACAGTGGCAGGGAAGCCCATATGTGTGCAGAGGCTCTGGGCAGGGCTGCCCAGGGGGAATGAGAGTGTCAAGGATATCACAGAAGTTTTCATAGGTACAGCTGCCAATCTGTTCCACACACGGGATCTTGACCCAGAAGCCAGCTACTTCCTTCTCCACGGTTAATTCCACCTGGTGAAAAAGAGTTTGAAGAAGGTAACAAGTGTAAATTCCAGGGTAAGCATACTAGCTCCTCTGTCTCTTTAAAACGTCAGCATTATATTTCAATCACAGAATTTTTTTTTTTT